AGATACTGAAAAAGCATTCTATAAAACTCAACAGCTATTTATGATCAAAACTCTTCTTAAACTAAGACTCAGAAGGAGTTTTATTTAACCTGATACAGTGTATCTCTGACAAATGTATAGCAAGAATTATACTCACTGGTGAACTGTTAAAAACATTCCATATAAAATTAGGAATAAGAGAAGGAGATCTGGTATCACAGCTTTTATTTAACATCTTATAGGCACTCCTAACTTCAAAATAAGTCCAAACACATACTAACACACATGAATAAGGAATTGAATAAAAGAAGCAAATTGTCATTATTTGCAGAAAATATCATTATTTACATAGAGAATTAAAAAAATAGAAAAATTATTAAAATGAATAAAGGAATTTAGCAGGGTAGCTAGATATGAGATTAATGTACGAGAAAATTAAATTTGTGTATATTAGCAATAGTTAGAAAATGCAATTCCAAAAAAGATACAAATAGCTTCAGAAATATAGGGCACTTGGGAACAAATCTAACAAAAAATGTACAAATCTCATGTGGAAAAAAGTTCCAAAATTTTATTGAAAGATTTAAAAGATGTCAGTAAATGGAGAAACAAATATGAAGACTGAATTTAATAAAAATGTCAATTCTTCCAATACTCGTGAAAATTCAGTCAAAATTCCACTTGTCGAAAGTGATGACCAAGTTGAAGTTACAGTTTATAAAGATGAGCAGAGGGCCTATGAATAAGACACATGTGAAGAGAGAACAGGTAGGGGACCTGCTCTGCCAGGTAGGAGGACTTATAAAGCTGCAGTACACACATTGTTTGGTATTGGTTTAAGGATACACAGATAAACTACTAGAATTGAATAGAGAGTTCAGAAACAGACTTATACGTATATGAAAACTTGATTTATGACAGGGCTAGCGTTGCAGATTATTTATAGTGGGACAGTATTTTATCTGCATGGAAATAAAAAGAAAAATGGATCTTCACACCACACACTGAAATTAATTTCAGGTGGTTTAAGGACTTAAATGTGAAATGCAAAACTATAAAAGTTTGGAAGGCAATATAAGTAGACTATCTCCATGACAGTGTATAAGTAAAAGTGTTCTTAAACAAAACCCAAGAAGGAAAAAATTGATTAATTTGATTACATAAAAAATAAGAACATCTGTTATTCACAAGGCACTATCAAGAATCCTGCAGAGCCTTGTTCAAGATGATAAACTCAAATGCCTGGTGCATTTGATTAAAATATTTGCTGTTTACACAATTGGAAAATAGGAACAATTGCTAATAAATACCTAGAAAATGAAGGAAACACATACATGCCCTACAAAGATCTTCTTAGCATGAATTCAGGAAACAAGGGAAAAATAATCATATTGTGTGCTTTATTGCTCAGCTATTAATAAAATTTACATGATTATCTAATAAAAATGTGATATAATTGCATTGGAAGGATGAGAGCATAGGAAGTGTAACTGTGTTTGTAAAAAAAAGCTAAATACTTTGATGTGTCATGAAGTAACTAAAAACTGTCAAAAGATTAGCTAATCATGTTATATCAACATTAATTTCCTGGTTGTGATAACTGTACTATTGTTATATAAAATATTAACATTAGGGTAAGCTAGGTGATGGGGCTATGAGAACTGTATGCTCTGTTTGCAACTTCGCATAAGCCTAAAATTAATTCAACATGTGAAATTAAAACAGTCGGTTTTATTGGCTTCATGGAGTAAGAAATGGGAGAGGATTGGCGGATTATTGACATTTAGTAATAATTTTATACTACAACTTGATTCTTTAATCAGTATGCATATGTTACTGAAGAAAATAGAAAGTAGAAAATAGTGCAAAGCACAAAGGAGGAAAGTTATTACTCTGAAAATTTAACTTTGATGCTTTGGAAAGAATTGACAAAGTTACTTGGAAAAGAATATTGCCATCAAATTAGCTGTGGGGAAGATTGAGCTTGTTAGTTTAGTCAAAGTTAAAGAAGGAAGCCATTAAAAAGATATACATACATATATATATATATATATATATACACTTAAATATTTTATTTTAGCTTGGAACATAAAAATGCATACTTATTCAATAATATTTTAATGAATAAAATTTTAATGAAGGGACATAGCTTTTTTTTTGGCGGGGGAGAAGGGATCCAATTAATAGAATTCAGCAGTAGATTTCTTTTATAAACCATGCCTGTATATTTTATCCACAATTTTCAATTTCAGTCTCTTTAAAGAGGAGAAAGAACCTAAAGAACATATGATAAAATCTTAATATGTAATCCTGCTAGATTTTTATGTTTTTTGTCCTAAACTTTTAGCTCAATTCTGGTCTAAATTGCTTAAGGTAAGAGGGATTCTAGTGTACTTTGTTAGGGTAAAGAAGTAGTGTATGGTAGCAAGAATGTTTGATAAAAGAAACTGTATTTTGTAGTAACCTTTTGCTATGTGAAGTGTAGTTTGTTTGTTTTGTATTGAGCATAAGCAGTACATGTTTTCCTTTTGAGATTAATACAATTTCTTGTCTCAGATTACAAAGTAGAGGGTTTTTTTTAATGTGGTACAATACCCATGACATAAAATTTACCATCTTAATCATTTTTAAGTATATAGTTCAGTGGTATAAAATACATTCATAATGTGCAGCCGTCACCACTGTCCATCTCCATAGTCCTTTTCTCTTATAAAATGGATACTCTAACCATTAAATAACAACTCCTCATTGGCTCTTCCCCCTGCCTTTGGCAATCACCATTCTACTTTCTGTCTCCAGGATTTTGACTACTTCAGTATTTCATATAAGAGGAAGCACAGAGTATTTCTTTTTTCATGAGTGACTTATTTTCCTTAGCATAGTATTCTCATGGTTCCATGTTGTAGTATATGTCAGAATTTTCTTCCTTTTTAAGGCTGAATAATATTCTATTGGATGCCTGAATCACATTTAGCTTATGCATTTATTTGTTAATGGACACTTGGGTTGCTTCCACATTTTAGTTATTGTGAATAATGCTGCAGTGAACACGAGTGTACAAGTATCTCTTCAAGACACTGAGACCCTGCTTTCAATTCTTTTTGGGTATATACCAAAAAGTGGAATTGCTGGTTTGTATGGTAATTCTATTTTTAATTTTTTGAAGAACCACCATATTATTTTCCATAGCATTTCCATTTTACATTCCCACGAGCAGTGCACAAGGGTTCCAGTTTGTATTCTCACCAACTGTTTGTTTGTTTCTCTCTTTCTTTCTTCCTTTTCTTTCCTTTTTTGATTGCTGCCATCCTAATAGGTATGAGGTGGTATCTCATAGTAATTTTAGGTTTGTTTGTTTGTTTGTTTATTTATATTTAATGGAAGCACTAGGGATTGAACCCAGGACCTTGTGCATGCTACGCATACACTCTACCACTCAGCTATACCCTCCTCCACCTCATAGTAATTTTGATTCACATTTACCTAGTGATCAGTGATGTAGAACATTTTTTCATGTGCTTATTGGCCATTCTCCATTCCTTGGAGAGATGTCTGTTCACTTTCTTTGCCATGGTTTGAATTTTGTTGTTGTGGTTGTTGTTGAGTTTTAAGAGTTCTCTACATATTCTGGGTTTTAATCTTTGTAAGATACATAATTTACAAATATTTTCTCCCTCTGTGGGTTGCCTATTTACTCTGTTGATACGAACTGTCTTTTGATACACAGCATTAAAAAATTTTCATGGACTCCAATTTGTCTGTTGTTTCTTTTACTGCCTGTGTCTTTGGTGTCCTATCCAAGAAATCCTTACCAAATTCAATACCATGAAGATCTTGCTCTATACTTTCTCCTAAGGGTTTTATAGTTTTAGCTCGTATGTTTAGGCCTTTGATCCATGTGAACTAATTTTTGTCTGTAATGTTAGATAAGTGTCCAGCTTCATTCTTTTGCAAGTAGATATCCAGTTTTTCCAGTATTTCCCCATCCAATGATCTTGGCCTCTCTGTGAAAAATCATTTAATTATTTATTTGAGGGTTTATTTCTGGGCCTTCTACTCTATTCCATTGGTCTATATGTCTGCCCTTATGCCAATACCATACTGTTTGATTGCTGTAGCTTTGTAGTAAGCTTTGAAATAAGGAAGTATGAGTCCTCAAGCTGTGTCCTTTTTCAAGACTGATTTACATATTTGGAATCCCTTCAGATTCCATGTGAATTTTAGGTTGGATTTTTGCAAAAAGTGTTATCAGCATTTTGATAGGGATTGCATTGAATCTGTAGATTGCTTTGGGTGGTATTGACATCTTAACAATATTAAGTTTTCTAGTTAATGAACATAGGATGTATTTTTATTTATTTATGTCTTCCTTAATTTTTTCAGCATTGTTTTGTAGTTTTCACTGTACAAGTTAAGTTCATTTCGAAGTATTTGTTTCTTTCTGATGCTGTTTATAAATGGAATTTTCATAATTTCCCTTTCTCATTATTCATTGTTAGTGTATAAAAATACAACTGATTTTTGCATTTTGACTTTGATCTTGCTATTCTACCTAATTTGTTTAGTAGCTCTAATAGTTTTTTTTTTTTTTGGTGGAATCTTCAGGGTTTTCTGTATATAAGATTATAACATCTGTGAAAAAAGAAAGCTTTACTTTTCCCTTTACAATTCAGGTGCTGTTTTCTTTTTATTGCTTCATTGCTCTGGCTATAACTTTAAGTAATATGTTGAATAGAAGTGGCAAAAGTGGGCATCCTTGTCTTATCCCTAATCCTAAAGCAAAATGTTCAGTCTTTTACCATTGAATATGATGCTTGTTCTAGGTTTTTCATACTTGGCATTCGTTATGTTAAGATACAAAATAGAGCTTTGCTACTTTTTGGATTTTTATATTTTTCAAATTTTTTAAGTACAGTATGAGCAGCTTATTTATATTTTTAATTTGATACTGATAAGAAAACAAATCAGTATGTTTATGTATAATGACTTACTATTCTAAAAGATGTTTTTTCTTATTTCAGACAACTTAATGCGGCCTCTTTTGAATTATGGCATTGCTTGGTGAGCATAGCTTTTTTACTTTATGTTACTTTTCAGAATAAAATTGATTAACTTATGTAAGTTAGTTGTGTTTTTGGTTTACTGTTGCAGTATGTCCATGGGCTTTCTAGTTGAAGAGACTGCACCGGTTGTTTGGAGAGGCCTGATGGTAATGTCAGCCATTGAGAAACTGTTGAGGCAGGTAAGAAAATTGCATTAAGTATCAATTTATTATTGGCACACTGTTGTTAGTATTTGCTGATTGGAGAGTCATTAAATTTGCAGTCAGGTTTGAGATGTTTTGCAAAAGAATCCAGTTGATAGGCTGAATTTATAATAGGTAATGTGGTGCCAAGACCAGATTTCACTGTCACATGATTTAATCTTTCCCATTCCTTAAAATCCTAAAATCTAATGTCTTATTTTATATTGGTCTGTTTCTGTTTTGAACCTGCAGTAAGACAAGGAAATCTGTTTTATAAGTAATCTGCCTTATTTAGATCTGTGGTTAATCTCATTGTGACCAATATTGAGTTATACGGGGGGTATAGAAATACCTCAGATGTAGAAAAATGTTTTAAAACTATAGAGCTGATGATTTCAAATTGCTTCAGAACAAAATGAAATTTTATTTTACCCTGAGTACATATGGCCATATATTTGCATACATAATATCTGTCCAATCAACTTTAATTTATCCTCAAGGAAGAGAACAGTTGATTGGATAATCTAAAAATATCAGATGGGCTATATGTTATTTATAGGAATAAATTTTATTTTTTTCTTAGTAGCTGTAAATTAATAGTTAATTATGTTATAGGTAAATGTTACAAGTACTTTAGATTTTCTCTTCTGACTTAACAGCAATTATCCCTTATTTATTCATGTTTTACTTTGGGTCAGGCACCATTCTATAGGTTGACAGTTCTAATAATAGCTGTTCCTATATCCATTTCCAGTTGTGAAAGTAAGTAGATGAAACATGTCTTAAACTCTGGAACTCTTCTCTTTTCATTGTAACATCTTCTTTTTTTTTTTTCTGTTGTTTGAGCTCTGATAAATGTGCTCTTTGATCTTTGATCCCAGAATCCCCCTGTTTTCCTAGCATATTTAAATCTCTTGGCTGCATTTCTTCCTCTTTTACACTTAGATGCCATAGTTGGTTATTTCAGTTATACTCCCACCCAACACCCGATCCATACCAATTCCTTTGTGTGCTTGACCTTATTTGTGTGGATTAACCCAGTCTCTTTTAAGTTTTTTTTAAAGGAAATTCTAAAACAATTTTTATTCAGTTTGTAATTAAAGTTAGAGTCAATGGAAATTTGGAAACACCAAAAAGAGAATTCTGATTTTAGAATTAATATTTCCCAGCTACATTATTAGTGTTGTAATTCTCAACAGAAAATGATTCAGAATTCCTCCTAAGGCTTTATTGATGGCTACAAGAAGATGGAAGTATTTCTGCTTTCCACAGTGATCAGAGATCCAAGTCAGTGAGAAGAGACACAGAAGTCCAGGCCAAGGATTGGTGTTCCCAGTGCAGGGATGAAGGATCCCCATAGCCCATTCCCAGCAAGGGGTGTGTACATTCTCTCTTTTCTGTCCTTTTTAAATCTCAGAACCCCCCCTTTTTTCTCATTTTATTTATTTTTAGTTTTTATTTTTAACATTTTTTTATTGAGTTATAGTCATTTTACAATGTTGTGTCAAATTCCAGTGAGGAGCACAATTTTTCAGTTATACATGAACATACATACATTCATTGTCACATTCTCTTTCGCTGTGAGCCACCACAAGATCCTGTATGTATTTCCCTGTGCTACACAGTACAATCTTCAGAAACCCTTTTAAATCTCAGATTCCAATAGGTGACAAAAGCATCTCTGCAAATGAACCCCTGAGGGTGGAAGAGAGAGAGCAAACGTGTACCTGCTCTCAGGAGAGAGGCAAAGGGAGTTTCCCACAGAATAAGTGGGATTAAACCTGACGGTGTAAATAATTAGGCTGCAAAACGATTGCACCTGAAGCTCACACTTAGATTTAGTGCTTGCTTTTACAAGAACGCTTTTTGAGACTAGAGGTGAGAGGATCAAAAGTCTGAAGGAAGCTGAGTATATTATTATTTTATTTTGTGGGTTGTTGGGGAAGGGAGGAGAGGGCAGAATCCCAAATCCCTATTCTCAGTGTCCCACCATAACCCAGCCTCTTTTATCTACTGCTGAATACTGCTGGAGAATGTAGAATAACTGTGTTAATTGCTGGCCTTATACATTTTTGATTTCTGAGTTTAGCCACGCTCTCAACATTTCAGTCATCTGATTTTATTCATCGTTCTTCTCAAAATTTATAAAATGCTCAGCTTAAAAAATATTTAGAGAACTTGGTTGTCTGGCAGAGGACTTGCAGATATTTAGAGATTTGGCTCTCTGATACATAAATCGTATAAAAGTCACAGTTTATTCTGATAAGTGCTGAAGATACATTTTTAGCAAACATACTATCAGAATGCTTATCAGGGGTGAGAAAATGGATCCGTAACTTATTTTATTGGGATGCTTAGAGGATACCTAGAGCATCCTTTAGGATATTAGGATATTGGACTGCATGCCTTACAGTCTCTTGTAAAGTCACTGTATCATTTGTGCATTTTAGTAGGAGCTCAAAGCTGATATTTTCAGATCATACTGCGACCAGTGCTAATCATCTGAGCTACTAATTGAGGAGTGTTTTGTTTTTGTTTTGCTTTAGAAAGCAGACTAGCATTTGTTAAGTTTAACATCCTTTGTAAAAATTTAGTAGCTGGGTAGATGCTCTGTATAGTAGTGGATTGTGGAGGTACTAATTCATTGGCTGATTAAGAAATTTTGCGTATAACATATATATATATATATGTATATACAGACGAGTGTACAGATCGTAAGTGTACAGGTTGATGAATTATTCCAAAATAAAAATATTTAATAATCATCATTTAGGACAAGAGAAATAGATAATTAGAATACCAAATGTTCCAGAAGCTCTTCTCATGTCCCTTTCCAGTTACTATTTTATGGGGAGAAGATAAATACTTGTGGTCAGTCTGTAACCTTGAACTGGAATCTGGTTTAAAGTTTTCTTCCCTCTCCTTTATAATATTCTATTGCATTAAACTTATAAATGTAATGGAATGCACACATCTTATGTGAAATTCAGTGATTTTTGATAAACACATGTAACTATATAACCACACTCAAGACAGAACATTTCTGTCCCCTAGAAGTTTCCCTGGGCTCCCTTGTATTCAGTCCCACACTCATGAGCCATTGTTGTTGTGACTTCTATCACCATAAAAGTGTTTTGCATGTTCTTACATTTCATATAAAGGGAACCCTACAGTATGGAGCCTATCATATCTGGTTTCTTCCTCTTAGCCTAATGCTTTTAAGGTCATTCTTGTTGCATGTATCAGTAATTGATCCCTTTTTATTGCTGATTCGTATTCCTCTGCATAAATACAACCCAATATTTTTAACCTAATCTTCTATTGATGGACATGTGGGTAGTCTCCTGTTTGGGGCTGTTATGAATAAGGCTGCTATAAATTCTTGTACAAGTGTTCATAAGATTTCTAGTTGCTTCTCATCTTTGTTGACGTTTCCTGTTGTCAGTTTCTTCACTAGTGGGTGTAAAATGGTATCTTCTGATGGTTTTAATTTGTGCTTCTCTGTTGGTCTGTGATGTCGAGCCCCTTTCATGTGCATGTTAGATATTGCTGTATCTTCTTTTGTGAAGTGTATGTTCAGGTCTTTTGCTCATTTTTTTGGCTCATTTCCCCTCTTGTAATTGAGTTGTGAGAGTTTTAATATATTCTGGCTGTGAGTCCATTGTCGGATACATGTATTGGGAATATTTCTCCCAGTCTGTGACTTGCCTTTTGATGAGCTGAAGATTTAAATTTTCATGAAACCCGATTTCTGAAAAAAAATTTTTTTTAATGCTTAGTGCTTTTTGGGTCCTCTCTAGGAAATTTTTGCCTGTCTACCCCAAGGTTGCAAAGATGTTCTCATGTATTTTTATCTCAAAGCTTTATAGGTCTGGCTTGTACATCTTGAATTAATTTTTGTGTCTGAAGTAAGATAATGATCAAGGTTTATGTTTTTTCATAGTTATGGCATAATAAATATATTTGTCCTTTGTGGGTCCTGGCAGAAAGCTCCTAAAACACTGGAATTTCCTGAGTGATAGGATTATCCTTTGCATTCGTAAAGAATCCCCTTTTGAGCACACCTGCCAGTTCATGCTACTGAGGTGACTTAGGGTGGGACCCTAAGGTGACTAAGGGGGGGGCTCAGGGCTCTTGCCTTATACTTTTCATCTGGCTGTTCATCTGTATCCTTTATAATACCCTTTATAATAAACTGATAAATGTAAGTAAATATTTCACTGAGCTATGTGAGCTCCTCTAGTAAAATTATAGGCTTGCCTCAGAGATATTGCTGGTTTGGTTCCAGACCACTGCAATGAAGCGAATATCACAATAAAGCAGTCACAAGAACTTTTTTTTGTTTCCCAGTGCACATAAGAGCTATGTTTACATTATACTGTAGTCTATTAAGTGTGCAATAGCATTGTGCCTAAAAAAATATACATACCTTAATTAAAAAATACTTTATTGCTAAAAAATGTTAGCCATCATCTGAACCTTCAGCAGGCCATAATCTTTTTTCAATAGTAGCATCAAAGATCAGTGATCACAGATCACAATAACAAATAAAATAATAATGAAAAAGTTTGAAATATTGCAAGGATTACCAAAATGTGACACAGAAACACAAAGCGAGCAAATGCTCACTTGGAAAAATGGCCCTGATAGACTTGCTTGGTGCAGGGTTGCCTCTAACCTTCAATTTGTAAAAACACCTATCTGTGAAGTGCGATAAAATGAGGTATGTTTGTAATTAAACCTGAGGAGGGAGTCATGGTAACCTCTGATTTAGAGCCAGCCAATCCAGAAGCACATGTAACAACCTGGACTTGTGATTGGCATCGGAAGTAGGTGCAGTCCTTAACGTGTGGAATCTGATGCTGTCTCCAAGTAGATAGTGTCAGAATTGAGTTAATTGCTTGGTGATGTTGGAAAACATATATTATAATAGTTTATCTAATTGTTCTAGCACTGTTTGTTTGAAAGACTTCCCTTTCCCCATTGAATTGACTTGA